ATGATTTACAGAATCAAAAAAATAAGATTATGAACACAAACATCTATTATTGACCAAAGATAAATTAAGATTATTATCACAAGTTAAGCAATTATCATATACTAAGGAACAAGTCAAGCAAGAACTCATACATTGGTCGCAATTTTAGTTATTTGGATTTTCATAATATCCTTGTAGACATTCACAAGTATTTCCATTTTTTAATTGTCTATAATTATCAATTGAGCATGTTAAACAATAATTATTAGTATTGGCACAAGTTAAACAAGTTTTATCACATAACTTACATGATTTATCAATACTTGATTCATACATTCCATCACTACAAATACAATCATTATTTTTTAAGTTTTTAAATTAAATACAAGACGTACAATAATTTAGAGATTAAGAGCATGTCTTACAACTTGAATTACATTTTTAACAGATCCCATCTATTTCAATATAACCTATCTAGCAATCACAGTTTCTATTTATTTTGTTAATTTCTCTAAATTAATTTGGATCACAAGATGTACAATTATTAGATGTGGTTTCACATGTCAAACATTTTGGATTACATTTTGAACAAAATTATAATCCAATATCGTAATATCCCTAATGGCATTTACAATTTGTTTCTATTTTTCTTGTCTAAGGACATGATAAACATTAATAAGATTGTCCAACACAATTTAAACATTAAATATCACATTTTTAGCATGATATTGATGAACCATCATCAAAATATCCAAATAAACATTTACATGTATTATTATAAAATACTCTTTTAGTAGTATTCAGATCTATACATGAAATACAAGAATTTGCATCCCCTTAATTACAACTTAAACATGAATGGTGGCATTTTTAACAATTTTCAACTCCAATATCATAGTATCCCATATTACAATCGCATGAAAAAAGTTAATCATTATATATTCTATTCGATTCATTTGAGCATAACTCACATTTTGTTTCAATATCATTACATTTCAAACATGAAAAATGGCATTCTTAAAATAATTAGATATCATATTTACTTTAACAAACATTATTCTATCCATCATCATAATATCCTTGAATACATTGACATTTATTGAAACCTGAAACTAATAATCTCAAACTGTTATCTTGACAAGAAATACATCTGTCAAAATACTTTTAACATCCTTTACATTTATAACTGCATTCTATTTATAAAAATCAGTTATACTTGCACAAGCGGGCAATCCTGTATCAAAGTATCCTTCTCTACAAACACAAGTATTTCCTACTTAAAATCTATTTTCAGTATCCATACAAGAAATACAATTTTCTTCATCCATTCCCATGCATGTTCCACATGAATAATGGCATTCTAATCTTTATTTAATAAAATACTCTAGCATGTAAGCATTCCATTAAAATCAAATGTACTAATTGTTTATTCATGAAATTTAGTTTTACATTTGCATGTATTTCCATCTAAATATCTATCATCATTGCATGAAGTACAATTTTTAGAATTGTTAATACATTCATAACAGAATGGGCTACAAGCTATTTTAGATCTAATGGTTACTTGAGCATTCTTAAACTTCCATTTCAAAGTAATTTGGTTAGCATTAACATAAATTATTTTTAAGTTCTCTATGTTAAATAGAATTGCAGGAGAGACAGTCATTCTCTTCAATACCTTTACAGGTCTTACATTTGAAATGGCATTCTTTATTTCATATTTATATTACTTAGACAAGTTATCTCATTTTCTTTATCAAAGTATTCCTCTGAACAATAACATCCTTTAATTGGATCAAGCTTACGCATTGAATTCAATGGGCAACTCAGACATTTATCCGGTTGAATGTCACATGTCTCACATTTATATGCACATTCTAATAGATATTAATAATTTAATATTTACTTTAACATTTAGCGATTCCAACTTCCTCATAATATCCATCAACACATTTACAAACATTTCCTTTCAAAACTCTAAGATTAAGGTCGAAAGAACACATGATACAACTTTCTGCATTATTATCGAAACATCTGTGACAAGAATAATGACATTCTTTTAATAGTGAATAAATACTACCTGCACATTCTAATTATCCAATGTCATAATAATTTATTGGACAAACACAAAATGATAATTCCAATTATCTATAATTTGTATCACATGTTAGGCAATTAGCTGAAAGTGGACCAAAACATGTCTTACAGGATTAATCACATTATTGACATTATAATGAAAATCCATCATCAAATGTATTTGAATCAGTGCAAAAGCATTCGAAGAAACTACCTGATGATTAAGCTGTTCTACTAGAAGGACATTCTAAACATGCATCCTTTTCAGTACTGTTTGCACATATTAAACAAGAATGATGACACTCTATAATCGCATTTAATTAAGTACTTTAACATTTTCTATTTTGAGTATTATCATCAAAATAAGATTATTTACATAAACATTCTCCCAAAGGTGTTAATTCTCTGTAAGAACTTTCTGAGCATTATAAACAATTTTTGGCTTCAACACCATAACAATTTCCACATGTATAATGGCAAACTATGTATAATTTATTAATTTACCAGCACAAACTTCTAAAGTGCCCCCAAAATCACTATAATTTTCTTCACAATCGCAGTTAAAAGTGTCTGAAACAACACGATTTTAACCAGGAATACAAGTAAGACAATATTGGTTCTCAGATCCATCAGCGGGGTAAAAACATGTTAAGCATTTTGCATGACATTCTAAAATTATAAAAAGTAATACTTCCACAGATTTATTCCTTAACTTTATGTTCAGAATATCCTGTTTTACATTGACAAACATTTCCAATTTAAATTCTGTTTGAAATGCTTTCTTCTACACAATCAATACATTCTTAAATTAATGGACCAAAGCAATTTTGACAAGATTTATCACAAACTAAAAATCAATAATAAATTTACCAATGCAAATTTAATCATCATTTTCAGCGTCATATGTACCTGGTTAACAAATGCATTCTTTGTTTATTACTATTCTATTTGATCCTGGTTTACATGAAGTACATTAATAAAAATCATCACTTTCACAATTTTGACAATAACCATCTGCACAAACTGTGCAAATACCTTCTAAAAAACCATAGAATGGTTTGCATTTGCAGATACCATCATCAACTATTAAATTATACTTACTATCACAAATTATGCATTTTTTTTGTGTTCTAGAGTAAGTGTAAATTGGATCGCATAAAGTACATGTTGTATAATAATACATATAGTTGCCAATTTAATAATCAAATATCATAGATTATCTTGAGGGGTCACAATTCCAATCCATTAAATAGCAACTATAGGCACTTCCATATGTAACTTTTTTTATGTATCCTTAAAAGCAACTCTCACAAGTATACCCTCTTATAGGTAATGGGCTAGCGGATCGACAAGGTGCAATATCTAAAAATAATACTCCTAATACAATTACCATAACAATTTGATCCTAATTACATATATCCAGGCAAGCAAGCTCCATATCCATAAAAATAGCCAGATTAGAAATAACAATTTGTATGGCCATGACAAACTATTCATATAAATATAATTTTTTATAAATTACCTTAACTGCATTAAGTATCCTATCCTACATTTATAAATCCCAACATACACTAAATACACTTTTTATCGGAATTACATTGCGAACAAAATCCAGCACATTCTTTAATAATTATATTGTAATACCTCTATCATTAGGATATATAAATCTATCATCGAATCGAATTTAAACTTAATCACAACCAAAACCATTTCCATAAAATGGACGTTTACAAAACTAGCATCTAAATACACCTTGCTGATAGGCTGTTATCAAACATTTATTATGTGAATTATCTGCAAAATCTGAAGTAATAATCATTTATACTTACATTTACAATAATATTTATAATTTTGGTCTGGTAGTTACTCCATTACAAGTGAAACGCCATTTGCAAATCCACAATGAACTAGATATTCGTCTGGAGTTGGGGTCCCTGCTCCCCATAGTTAAAATCCGGGATGGCATAGGTGTTAAGTTCCATTTACTTCAGTTTTTACTAATACTTCTGTAACACCTTTACAAATCAAAGCATAAGCTATAAATAAAGCTAATAATTACAGACACATTTATATGGATGCAATCCTGGCATAAATATATGTAATTAAGCACATTATGATTTTGAGAAACCTATTTCAAAAAGATAATATGAGGGGTAAAATCTCCATCCAAATACTTCTATGATGAGAAATAATCTAATCAAAAACATAATCAAATATTAATATTTTAATTTTGTGATAATCAGAGGATAAAAAATTAGGAAGTTTAGTCTTAAAATTAATAAAAAATTTAATTTCTTAGTGTTAATTAAATATGAATAATATATATTGGTTATTTTCTAAAAAATGAATTTCAATTGAAATCCTATACCAAAGTTAAATAGTATCAATTTTATGTAGTTTAAATTTTTATATGGAATTATAAAAATCAATTAATATTTATAATCTAAAATTCTTATTTTTGATCATTCAGATCTGATTAATTTGTTATTTAATAATAAAAATAATATGCTGAATCAAGGTTTTCAATTTAAATAAAATTAGCAATTAGAGAAATTCATGTTATTCACTTATTTTTTTTTAAATTATATATTTTATGCTTAAGGAAAATATAAAATTTATCCTTTAATTATGTTCAAATTATGAAAGTAATTAAGTAATACAAGCTAACTTCAAAATATGAAGAGAAAAAGATATTTAACTCAAAATTCTTGTCAAAATTGTTATAAAAATAATGATTAAGAATTAAAAGGAATTAAATAATTTCAAATTGTTTCCTTCATATATAGTGAAATTATTTTTCTTAAAAGAGCTATTGGCTTAATACTAAAAACTAAAAATTATCCGATTAAATTACTGAAATTCTATTAAATAATTATAAAATCAACTCCTCAAACAAGAATGGAGAATATACTGGATCAAATAAAAGATATAATGGATCCAGAACTATGAAATCAGGAGCATTTGCCTGCTCTTCTACACAAAATAATAATATTTCTCGTGATAAATTTGTGATATTTTACCCAATATATTCTATTATGAGTTTTTTCATCACTAATTACTTAAACAGGAAACAAGAATTAAACCATAAATATTTTGGCTGTTGACTTTCAATAGAATAAGATAACACATTTATATTCATTAAAAAAGCATACTGAATGGGTGAGTTCATTAAGTCTAAACAATTCAGAAAATCTACTATTAACTTGTGGATACTAAGAAACAATCATCTGGAAAAAGGATCAAGATAATAAATGGAAATTTATGACTGAGGTTATTAAATAGTCGACACCCAATTATCCAGATAGGGCATTATTTTTAAAAGATGATTAATATATTTTATTTAAAAGTAGGAAAGGATCTACTAGTGCAATCGTATATTAATAAATAAATTAGATTTTACTAAATATTATGATATAAAGTTTAATACTATACCCAACATAGAATTTAAATTATATCAAACATTTGAATTTAGACCAGAATTGATTTTATTATTTGTTAGATATAAAGAATACATTTACATATTAGTAAAATAGGATAATGGAAAATATAAGATTGCATATTAAATGTTATAAAACTGATTAAATATATGGAACTTTATCAAATAATGGGTAATACCTAGTGATTTATGATGAAAGTTAAAAATTACACAATATTTATGAATTATAAAATAATTGATATGATCATATAATCAAGTGATACATTTATAATATTGGTATATATGCTATAATAATGTTATTTATTATTTATAATAATTAAATATAAAAATCAATTAATTAGTTAATTTTAGTTGAATTATTTAAATCCACATAATCCTTATTTCTTTAATAAAATTAATGTATAAAATAATTGGAAAGATATTAATTGATTGATCTTTTAACAAAACAGATTCAATTATATTTATCTAATATTTAGCAGAAAGTATTAAAATAAAAATTAATTATAAATCNCTAAAAACTAAAAATTATCCGATTAAATTACTGAAATTCTATTAAATAATTATAAAATCAACTCCTCAAACAAGAATGGAGAATATACTGGATCAAATAAAAGATATAATGGATCCAGAACTATGAAATCAGGAGCATTTGCCTGCTCTTCTACACAAAATAATAATATTTCTCGTGATAAATTTGTGATATTTTACCCAATATATTCTATTATGAGTTTTTTCATCACTAATTACTTAAACAGGAAACAAGAATTAAACCATAAATATTTTGGCTGTTGACTTTCAATAGAATAAGATAACACATTTATATTCATTAAAAAAGCATACTGAATGGGTGAGTTCATTAAGTCTAAACAATTCAGAAAATCTACTATTAACTTGTGGATACTAAGAAACAATCATCTGGAAAAAGGATCAAGATAATAAATGGAAATTTATGACTGAGGTTATTAAATAGTCGACACCCAATTATCCAGATAGGGCATTATTTTTAAAAGATGATTAATATATTTTATTTAAAAGTAGGAAAGGATCTACTAGTGCAATCGTATATTAATAAATAAATTAGATTTTACTAAATATTATGATATAAAGTTTAATACTATACCCAACATAGAATTTAAATTATATCAAACATTTGAATTTAGACCAGAATTGATTTTATTATTTGTTAGATATAAAGAATACATTTACATATTAGTAAAATAGGATAATGGAAAATATAAGATTGCATATTAAATGTTATAAAACTGATTAAATATATGGAACTTTATCAAATAATGGGTAATACCTAGTGATTTATGATGAAAGTTAAAAATTACACAATATTTATGAATTATAAAATAATTGATATGATCATATAATCAAGTGATACATTTATAATATTGGTATATATGCTATAATAATGTTATTTATTATTTATAATAATTAAATATAAAAATCAATTAATTAGTTAATTTTAGTTGAATTATTTAAATCCACATAATCCTTATTTCTTTAATAAAATTAATGTATAAAATAATTGGAAAGATATTAATTGATTGATCTTTTAACAAAACAGATTCAATTATATTTATCTAATATTTAGCAGAAAGTATTAAAATAAAAATTAATTATAAATCTAATATAATTTAATTAAGTAATTAGAATATAATTTTAATAATCTAATGTTATATATATTATTATATAATCAAAATGAACTGATAACAATACTTGTTCTGCTTTATAAATTATCATTTAGATATTCAAATATACTTGGAAATTTCTTTACTTAATCCTAATTTAATAATAGTTATGGATTGCTTATAGATGGTTTGATTTAATTAGAAATGGAATTAATATTATATTTTAATTCAATAATTGGTTTAGCATAACTAAATAAATACTTCTTAATCTTCTAATATCGAGTCTAAATTCGATTCCTTCTTTAAACACTATTTTCTAAATGCTTTCTGAAAAATGAATGTTTCATAATCCAAGGAACGATTTATCTTATCTTATCTCTAACTTTATCAAATTATACTTCTAATTCTACCCAGTAAGATTTTAATATTTCATTGAGAAGTAGAAAGAAATAAAATAAGTTTATGATTGCTAAAATAATAAAATAAGGAATTTGAATATCTAATGAACCATATAATTCATCAATATATATACCAAATCCCAAAATGATAGATATTTTACAAACCTTAGCTGAAAGTAAATCTAAATTATTAAGATTAAGTAATTTATATGGTTTGAATCTACGATTAAGTTCTGAATAAACAAAAATAACTAGGAGTACTAAAGTACCTTTCTTAATAATAATATCATCATAATATGCTAGAAAGATTATCAATAAATCTTTTTCAACAATTTTAACTATTTCCCAAAAGAATGCATCTGTTTTATATTCATTATATAAATATCCAAATTATTATCTGATTCTTAGTTTATTCAATCCTTATCTATTAATGTATAAGGTTAAGTAAAATAGAAATGGAATCAGAAATGCAAATAGAAATAATCCTGGTAAACAAAATGTCATTAACCAAATAAAATGATAGGATGTATCATATCTATATGCTACATTAGCCTGAATCCATTGATATCCAGAAATAGATCGAAATGATATTAATGAAATCAAACCTCCCACTAAGTTTGGTTAAATGTAGATATATATATAAATAAATGTTGTTGTAATAACACTTAAACGATATTAAATGATACCAAATATAACAATAATAAAGTATACACCTAAAAATATTAAAATGTATAAGAATGGCATAAGTATTTGCCATATCATTCTAGCATAATGAATTTCTACTGAAAACATATAAATTAAAAAACAATCTAATGAATATGTCATAGTTTATATTGGATTGGCAATTGAATTTAAGGCATTTGATAAACCAGTTTAAAAATTGATTTTAAAAGTAGTTATAGATGTTAATATTTATAAATGATTAGTTAACATTTTTATTAAAATTGCAGATTATGACTATTTTGAATGTTTTATGATCCTTAATTTTGCCATTTATACTTGAATTCCAATCTAATTAAGTAAAGCGACAGTACTCTTAACTGAAATGAATATAGAAATTAATGTCCTTAAATCTTATTAAATAATTACCAAATACTGACTATGAGAATTATGATTATGTTTTTAGATGTGTTCATACATGAACTACATGAATATTTAATGCTTATTGAAAAATGTCCATATCCTCTAAAATCATATATATCACATTCTTCACATAATGCCCCAATATGTCCAATTGAACATGAATTATCACCTTATTTCCAACCTCCCATGCAATTTTCAAGTAAATTAATACATTAACTTATTGAATTAGTATTAAAGTATGGTCTCCAATATCCTGCTCTTAAATTTAATTAGGCTAATTTGATTTCTTGGATTGAAACATCATCTTTAATTTAACATCTTTAAGCATTAATAACTAATGAGTATTATCCTAAATCAGGATCACAAGGAATACATGTCTTATTTGATATCTTCTTAATTTCACCTAATTGACATGGTAATGTCTTTACATTCATTCTCAAATAATAATTCTAATGATATGAAGTTATTTATTTTTATTATCCAATTTAAGGTATTAAAATTGAACTACAATTAAATTGAAGTTATAAAGTCATATTTAATTCATCATCTAAATAAATTATTAATTTATCTAAATTATAATCTTATTTATCAAATTATACTTTTTCTAAATTTGTAAAATTAGTTGAAAATTGTCTTTCTAATTCATCATCAAGTAATCTACTTTTAATAGAACATTAAGAATTATCTAAATCTTTGATTATAGAACCATACTAATCTACAGCTACTAATCTTAAATGTAGATTATATGGTTTATATTCTGCTTTTTACCAATCAAAATATTTATATTCTGATATTGTTTACCCATTAGGAAAATAAATAACATCAGTAATTACATTTTTCATCACTTCATATTTCTTTATTTATATTTATTCTATCATTAAATCATTAGTCTATAATATTTTTATTTTAGGTTAATAATTCTTCATGTCTACTGAAATAAACAATTAACAAGGAATTTATGCAGCATCATCCCCATATAGTTATGCTTCATTATGAGAAACTAATGAACCTAAAAGTGTCATGTTTTAATTCATTTAATCAGTCATACATATACCACCTCCAATCTTAGCTAAATTACTCTAGATTATTGATTATTCTAAATAAAAATCTTCTTTTCCTTTAACAAAAATTGCACCTCCTTTATTTATGGCAGTGTTATTCTTAAAAATTGAAGAAATAATTAATGTTGTCACATCATATATTCTTAAACAAGTACCTTCATAACCATAATTTTAATAGCATATAAAATTTAATAAATTTAATTAATAATTCTTGCTATTCACATATTGAATAATACTTTATAGTCTACGTAAATTTTATTAATTTTTTATAATATTTACACAACTTGATTTTCCACATTTATTTCTCTAAACATTGAGTTATTTAATATCTAAATAACTTTGACTATCAGATAATTTAATGTTTAATAATCCATTATCACAAACTTCACAATTTATATCTTAAAATACTAATTCTTAAATTGTGATATTTGATTTATAAGGAATCATATCAATAAAACTTACTATTTGATTTCCCGTTTGCATTTTCATCTTCTAAAGTATACAAACATCAATTAGATCCTAGTCATAGAACTATTGTAAACTCTTTGGAGATATCCTTACAAAGGATTCATTTAAACATTAAAAAGATTAATAAGGTATACGATTTATCTATTAAATAACACAGTCAGTTTTTTCTGGAAAAATCTCTAGAATAGATATGTTCTTTAATTGAATATTGCTTAAATATATTGATGAAATACTATTTTGGTTTTCTACTTATATACCTATATTTAAAAATAATGAATCTGTTATTGTTAATTTGGTTATTATTAACTAAGCAAAATTTGAAATCTAAAGGAATGATTCATAATTTAGATTCTTAATTAAAATATTCTATAATTTTATTGTTTATGCATTATCAACATAA